AAGTAGTCCAGGACAAATTGCTTTGGCTTGCCAGCATGGGAGCTGCTGACACAGTGTTCTCCGCAAGGAGCCTGTGACTGTGGGATTAATTTCCTCTTGGCTTTGAAATAGTCTGGTTCTGCTGATTTCCAGGGCATGCTGCAATGGCCGTCTTTTCAAATGGGTGTTTGGAATGGCTGGGGAAATTGGGGGGGGCGGGGTAGTAGTCCAGGACAAATTGCTTTGGCTTGCCAGCATGGGAGCTGCTGACACAGTGTTCTCCGCAAGGAGCCTGTGACTGTGGGATTAATTTCCTCTTGGCTTTGAAATAGTCTGGTTCTGCTGATTTCCAGGGCATGCTGCAATGGCCGTCTTTTCAAATGGGTGTTTGGAATGGCTGGGGAAATTGGGGGGGGCGGGGTAGATTTCCATTTAATTATTATTTTTAATTTCGTTTCCTTCTGTTTACAAGAGCTGGGATCTGTTGCTTTGTTCTGTAGCCACAGATTAGATTCCTAGCGGCAGCTGAGCCTGAGAGATTAGATTGAACTAGGTCAAATATTGACCCACTTTAACTATACACTCCCTGCCCAGTTAGAAAGTGGGATCTTCTGTAGGCGCACCCGTGAAGGAGGAATCCCTGAAGATTCCTACAGCACAGGGCTACTGGACAGACTCAAGACGTGCACATTCTCTCAGCAGTAAGTGATGGCCAGTGCTGTGGCAGAATTAACCTTAGACCCCTTCACATACTTGGCCCAAATCCCATATGTTTTGTAATGGTAACAGAGGACATAGCTGGGTTTTCACTGTGGCAGCAGATCACAGCTCATGCTCTTGGGGTGGCAGAGCCCAGGGTGTTGAGGTGACTCATTGAAAGGTGCATCCTGCTGTATCTTTGTTTGGATAAAGCCTGGGCATTCTGCATAAGAGAAATCTCCTGGAACCTCCCCAAGTCCAGTGGTCTAGCTGCAGCCTTTGCACAGAGAGATGTAAAAAGGGATGACTCCATGTTCTGAAAGACATGGTGGCATTTTAAGAATATATGATGTGCACTAGGCCTCTCCCCAGAGGATACAAGCTGCTTGTGAATGTGTCAGTTGAGGTGGTCTTTGTTTGGCCCTGCTAGAATGGGACGTCCAACTGGTAGGTGTTAGAAAGCAGGCCTGTCTCTCAAAAGCCTGTGAGCTTTAGGGATGTTAAATAGCGGTTAATTGAATAGTTGATTAACCTTGTGAATTCTTATCGGTTAGTTGACTATTCTCTAGTCCCAAAGGGTGGGGCTGGCAGCCAGCGCGCTCTGGCCCCACTCCTGGGGAGTCCCCTGCCACCCCACGCTGCTGCGTCTCTGCGGCACAAGGGGAGTCAGTTTAAAAACCAGCCCCCCTTGTGGACTGCCTGCCTGCCATCCCACACTGCAGCTTCTGATACAGAGGCGGCAGCAGGGGGTGGCAGCAGCACCTGTCCAGGGCGAGGGTCTGACCTCTCATACTGGGTGCAAGCCAGGACTGAGCCAGGCTGCTGGTTAGCCTGCTAAAAAATTCATTGGCAAAGTGGAGCGGGGGGAATGGGTGTAGTCGATAATGTTAGCCTATACGCTTTGCTTATTGGTTAATCAATTAATCGACTACACGAATACAACCCTTGTGAACTCTTCCAGCCCATTCCATGAGTTTTAACAGGCAAAAGTTGGCTTCTTTGTTTGCACCTGAGCTGGGAGGAGCGGGGTTGTGTTGTGCTCTCACCTCTGATTTAATGGGCACTGTCATGGTACAGATTGGCTGAGAGCAGGATCCTGCCTGGCAGCATGAAGGATAACTTCTGGGAAATGGGGGACACAGGCCCCTGCGGGCCTTGCAGTGAGATTCATTATGACCGGATTGGGGGCCGGAATGCCTCGCACCTCGTCAATCAAGATGACCCCAATGTCTTGGAGATCTGGAACCTGGTGTTCATACAGTTTAACAGGTGAGCCAAGAGCCTGCTGCCTCCAGGCTTTCCTTGTTGGAGGGAGAATGAGAGCTCTGCTCTGAGGCAAAGCCAGCTTGTAGAGCAGTAGCACCGAGTGGCAGTAGGCCTGGGAGCCTCTGTTCTCCAGAGCGAGCGAATCGTTCTCGCCAACCCCGCAGCTGCCCCAGTGGGTGTTGGGAGGAATATGGCCAAACTGTGAAACCCAGGGAGAGGGAGGTTGTAGTTCACACACAGTGGGAGGTAACTCCCATGTCCTGTGTCTTGCCTCTAGAAGCGCTTATGGCGCTCCTTACTAGTGCCCCCATGGCTTTTCCTCGTCAGACATGCGGGGACCCTAATAAGACTGCTCATTCGTCACCCTCCGCACTCAGCAGCTACACTGAGCTCCCAGCACCCCATGTGTGTTAACCATCCTCCCCAGCAGCCAATGGGAGCAAATAGCCGAGCCCTGCTACTGAGAGGAAAGGGCTGTTATGGAGCAGAGAGAGCAGAAAGCTCACAGGCTGTGACCGTTGCCTGGAATTCGTGAGAGTCCTTTGGGCTGAACACTTGGCTCCACTCCCCATTGGGCTGACTTCTGCTCTGTCTCCCATCATTGCCCTTGATCAGCGGGGTTGAGGTTCCTCACCATCCCTCCTTGTAGCTCTGGAAGGAAGGCCGTTCTGCAGCCCCCACATCACGAGTTAATCTGTGGCTGCAGACACGCAGTCCCTTTTCCTGGGGGGAGGGTTTATTTACGTTGACTCTAGTTTGCTCTTGAGTGTCTTGGTAATTGCCCTCTTAATAAGGCTCCTAGTGGCCCATGTGTGTGCCTGCCTTGTAAGCCCAATGGGATCATTGAAAGTCTTGTGGGGATGAGGGAAGAGATCTCAAGCTCCCTGCAGCAACCCAGTCAACAACTTTTTCTCCCTGGTGTTGGGCAGGGAGGCTGACGGGACCCTCAAGCCTCTTCCCAAGAAGAACATTGATACTGGGTTGGGTCTGGAAAGGCTGGTGTCTGTGCTGCAAAACAAGATGTCCAACTATGACACTGATCTCTTCATTCCCTACTTTGAAGCCATCCAGAAGGTATAGATCCGTGCCTGAGTCTTTGAACCTGATCAGAATTCCTCTGTGTACTCTCTTGTGCATGGTCTTGTGGGTGGACCGGCAGCCAGGGAAGCTGTCCCAGAGGTGGTGACCATGGTGACATCCTAGTGGCTGTGAGAGCGACCTGTCATGAATCCAAAAGCACTTCTCTGCAGATGTGTGTCTTGACAAGGATAGAAGACTAGCCTGTTCTGTAGCTGCTGCTTCAGGAGTGAATCAGGGGAGATCTGATCAGAGCAGCTCACAGGGATGGGTGCTGGCCATGCACCGTTTGGGTGCCTTTGGAAGTAGGAGACTCTGCCCTCCCCTCTGTATAGCTGCCATCCTCATGCAGGGCCCTAGGAAGCCTCACAAAGGGATTTACAATGTAAACAAATGGTATTGATCGTAGGGTTAAGATGGCACAACTCTGTGGTCAAGCCGAGCTCCATTTATCATGCTCTGGGTCAGCAGAGGCTGGGAACTTTGCAGAAGCAGCACATTCCTCCTTTGGGAATCTTGGGGAAGAGGGCCCCCACTTCTCCAAATACCGAGGGAAGTCTTGGTGCTCTGCAGGGTGCCATCTCCAGCTCTTCTCACCTGGAAAGATGGGTGGACCCTAGTGCAGGGATCTAGGTGATGAAACTGGTCCAAAGCCAAACTTCAGCAGCCAGTCACCTGCCTTGAAACCCCCTGCTCCAAGGCCTGCAAGAGTATGTAGCTTGACTTTGAGAATCCACCTGTTTGCGGGACGGTATCTGACAGGTGCACAGCAGAACAGGGTGGATTCAGGCTCTTTTTGTTTCTTTATGTTGGATAAATAAAACCCGAAAAGATGTTTCTGAACAAGTTTTTCTGCTTGCTTTTCCTACTCAGAATATCCCACATGATCATCTTGATTTTGCTGGAAGACTCTGAAATGTGAATTGTGAGCAGTCTTGGCCCGGAGGGTGGGGGGCTGTTAGGGGGTGTTGAATCTCAACAAAGACCTCCTTTCTCCTGAATGTTTCTCCAAGGTTGGAATTGAATAGATGTTACCACAGGATTTCACTGACTTAAAATCCCATCTCTCATCTGTCAGTAGGCTTTCACTTACTGGGTGTTTGATTGCCATCTACCAGTCCCCCAGTAATCCATGGAGTCCTTTTTGCAAATGACTTGACTGGATCAGTATTTCCAGTGTTAAAAAACAAGCAGAAAATCTGCATTTTGGGTGCTTGTTTCTGAAAAGCCTTCCCAGGCCATCTCTATCCACCATAAAGGAACAAAGAAAAGTCCACAGGCAAGTTTCTCTTTGCAAGTCGCCTTTCAGGTGGCTTTCCCTGAACACTGGCTTTGTCAGGGAAGGAAGAAGCCAGGTCCTGAAAGCAGCAAGAGCATGGCAAACAGAATGGGCACTGCAGACTTGTTGGCTGTATTGGCTATGTCTGGCTGGAGTGTGTGACCCAACACAGGAAAATCAGTTGGGCCCCTGCCCCAGCTCTCGCTCCAAGTGGTGTTGGATTCTTCATCTATCACTCTTTGCTGGCCTGGGCTCATTCCAACTGCTGGAGTTGATCAGTTTCACTTTGCACCTGCCCTTCTGATCAGGGAGAGCTGAGCGTGGCTCCTTCCAGAGACACTTGCCTTTATCTGAAAGGGTGGGGGACAGTGAGGAGTTTGCTGCTTCCATAACATTCCCAGCCTCCACTGGCCCTGAGCAAGGCCAGCTCTGGAAGCAGTCCCCCAGGCTGTGCTGCTGAGCAGACTCAGGTAGCTAACTGTGTGTGTGGTCTCCCCTCTCCCCCCCGATAGTCAGACAAAACGGCCAGGTTCTCCATACTCACCGTCTCCTCTCTCTGCAAAGGGCACTGGGGCCAGGCCGTACACGGGGAAGGTTGGTGCGGAGGATGAAGATGGCATAGACATGGCATACCGAGTCCTAGCAGACCACGCCCGAACTATCACCGTGGCCCTCGCTGATGGAGGAAGACCTGACAACACGGGCAGAGGGTATGAATGCAGGTGGCCCAAGTATACATTACTGAACCAGGAAGGTTACATGTGTGCGCAGATGCTGCGGTGCAGCCTTGATGACACTGACATTCCACCACTTAGATGCATGTGAAGGTTACAGCCATTGACCTCCTGTTCTGGAAAACAGGGGCTCTGAGATCTTCTCACTCCTTTGGGCATGTGGAGAGCCCTCCTCTGTGCCACCTCCATATGCAAGGCACTGGGTTCCTTGTCAGGGAGGAAGCTGGAATGGCTCAGTGGCAGTGTTTGGAGCCGGGCTGATTGTGGCTTGGGTAACTGCAAACTTTCCACACAGTGCTGTCAGTGCATCTCAGACCTGAGCTGCAGCTCTGCCCTGGCTATTCCAGCTCTGCTTTCCCATGCCTGTGCCTCAGCCAATGCTGACCTGAAGCTGCTCCACATGGGGACAGTTCCCAAGCTGCAAGAATGTAAATCTATGAATAGGACTGTACTTCAGGCCTCTGGGTTAAGGAAAGGAGATGGAATGAGGTCAGGGCAGCAAGATGGTGGTAATTGGAGACTCCCACTAGCAACATGAACTGGTCCCATGGCAAAATAGGGCCGAGTTTAAAGCCACAGTTTCTTGACACTAAGTGGCTGCTGCTTGGAACATTGAGTTCTAAGGCACAAGAGGCAAGGCTGTTCTTGGATCAGCTTTGTATGGGCATGCAGGCACCAGCTCAAGAAGCCACTCTAACAGTGTCCAAGGGACGGGGAGGCTACAAGAAGTGACACAGCAACGTTAACCTTTAGGGGTCAGATGATTAGTCAGAAAGGTCCCAAATAAAAATAAAGGAGGTAAACTAGAGGTATCAACCCTAGAAAGAGACCTTGGCATCAAAGCAACTAGATTTAGGATGTCAGGACTGGGGTGGAGAATGACACTGAAAGTATTAAAATGCCTTGATACAAATGAAAAGTGTGGCCTTGTCTGTCACCAGTCATACCATCTTATTGCAGAACTGGGGTGTGCTCAGAGAAGAGTCATGAGAATGATCAGTGGCCTGGAAAAAAACTTGTGACAAAGGATTGAAAAACTGGGCTTGGTATCTTAGCAAAGAGATAGATAAAAGGGCAGATGATACAAGAACTGTTCTGGAGCAAATAGAGCCCAGAAATTCTGGTGTTTCTCTCAAACATGAAGAACAAGAGGACACGGAGTAAAATTAAAAGAAGGGAAATTCAGAACCAATAGAAGGAAATACTTTTCTACACAATGCATAATTAGACTGTGGAGCTCACTGATGGGAAGTCCGAGGCTAGTAATTTAGGAAGAGTCAGAAAGGCATTGGATGCTTATGCACAGGGCTTGATAAATTGCTGTTTCTACTTGCCCATGGCAAGTAGATTTCAGCCGGTCGCCCTGTTCACCGGCGGCGCGTGCATGCACATGTGCAAGACCTGCATTGCGCAGTGCGGGGCTGGCGAGTAGATTTCGCCGCCGTTTGTCAAGCCCTGCTTCTGCAGCTATCAAAAACAGTCTAAGTTCTCATAATTACTGATCACAGCATTTCTGGAAGGGATATGAAACCTTATGGTGCTGGGTGTACAAGCCAGTTTCTAACTAACAGAGGTCAGTGTGAGACCTAATCTGGGGGCAGATTGTCCCACATCTGCTGCTATGTGGTTTTATACCTTCCTCTGATGGACCTTGGGTCTGATGCAGCCTGCATATGTTCCTCTCACACAGCTGTGCTGATGCCCTTCAGTCCTGACACACAGCCCTTCTGCTGCTCTAGTTCTGCTCCCCGCCCCCAGCGCTCTGCCAGCGCCCCTCATCTCCGACCCACAGACGCTGTGTGGTGGATTCCAAAGCTAGGTGACAGGAGCTAGGGAAGAGTCCTCAGTGTTTGTATTGCCCATGGTTAGCTGCTGGTGGGTCCCACTGGCAGGAGGGAGAGGGGTGGGGATGTCATGTGAGGATCCCACTCTTGGTGCTGTTCCCGCAGGTATGTGCTGAGAAGGATTCTGCGGCGGGCTGTGCGCTACTCCCACGAGAAGCTCAGTGCCCCCAAAGGCTTCTTCGCCTCTCTGGTTGATGTGGTGGTGCAGTCACTGGTAGGTCCCTTCGCTGCACAGTAACTGCATGAGACTCCTTGGTCATGCATGGCAGTATCCCCTGCCTGATGCGGGTCTCTGCTCTTAATAGTTGCTATTTCTGTGTCCTCAGGGGGACGCGTTCCCTGAGCTAAAGAAGGACCCGGCTATGGTGAAGGATATTATCAACGAAGAAGAGGTTCAGTTCCTGAAAACCCTCAGCAGAGGTCGCCGCATCCTGGACAGGAAGATCCAGACTTTGGGGGACAGTAAAAGGATCCCTGGTAAGGTTTGTTTTAACTCCTTTGATGCTGAAGGAGGCTTCCAGGGAATCCTGTGTCCTGCAGTGAACAGCATTTGCCATCTGGGAGTCTTTCAGGGCTCGGCTGGGCTGCCTGTGCATTTAGCATGGGAAACCCTCTGCACAGTGAGAGCAGCCATTCTGTTGTACCAATAAAAGCAAGCAGGATCTTATGAGGGGGATAAGGCAAAAAGCCACATTTATTGTAAAGATAATAAAAAAATAAAGAAAAGATAGAAGCAAACAACGTTGTTTAACTACTTATTCCTAACACTACTTAACCCTTATACACTTATATATATATATAAACCATTCATTCATACATCCATTCATTCAAGTTCTGTGTATAGTTACCAGCCTGGAAGTTGCTTGTGACAGGATACTGGCCAGGTACTCTGTACACAAGTGATGGTAGTGGGGAGCGAAGTCCTGATCAGATGCGCATCTGAAGCTCCTGGTAGGCTGGCAGCAGAACCTTGGACTCTGATTCCATAGTTTTTTAGTCCAGTTCTTATAGGAATTTCTTCCTATGCCAGTCTATGGAAACTGCTGCATCATGCTGATGTCTCCAGGGTGGCTGCCAGGTGCTCATCAGTGATCTCATCGGGTGGACCTCCAGTTTCTCCACTTGACACCTTTTGGTTGCACTGGCACCTGACGCCTTCTTCAGCCCTTTGTTGCTGTATTCTCAGGCTGGCACCTCTCAGAACCATTCACTCATCATCCAAGCACTCTCTCATACATTCATACAGTATTTTGTATAATAATAAAAGTTGTAGTTACAGAAAGTTTCTGGGTGGTATTGCTTAAAACATTCTCTGAGTGCTGAATAAAGTTACAATGTTTTAAAGAGAACAGGCCTCAATTAAGTAACAATGGCCTTAGTCAATTACAGGGCTTGGCTCCCATAGCAGAGTTAGTGGCTTGACAATGCATTGTTACAATGTATCTCTGCAATGTCAATTTCAAGCAGCCCCTTGCACAAGCTTGAGCATGCCCTGGAGCACAGAGGGGGGGAGGGGGCTGTTTCTGGCTACATAGGATTATATTCTTAACAGTTCTAAGTTACATGACCTAATACATTATATTCTAAAGGGACAATAATAATAATAAATCTAAACATTTAACAATCTTAACAAATAATAATAATAAGAAGAAGAAGAATTAATAACCATGCACCAACCTGTTGCTGCCTTAGCTCTGACTGCAAGTTCTGTCCTTGGGCTGTCTGATGGTTCCTATTCTGGTTGAGTGGTGATCTCTTAGGCTACGTCTAGACTGCAAGCCTCTTTCGAAAGACCCTCTTTCGAAAAAGCCCTGTTTTCATGCAATAGCGCCTCTTTTCAAAAGATGACTTTTGAAAGACATTATTCCTCGTAGAATGAAGTTTACCGCCATTGACAAAACCGCCGCGTTCTTTCGATTTACTGTCGACAGAACACGGTGGTAGTCTAAATGCAGGTACAGTTTTTTTCGAAAAAACCCTGTAGTCTAGACACACCCTTACTGGAGAGCTGGTCACTAGAGCCTGGATTGAGATGCACCTGCAGACTGCCACCCCTGACTGCCAGTGCCTGTTAGCCATGCACATCTCCAAGGTCCACTGCAGGCCTCCCCATTTGCCAAGCTGGCCTGGTCTCTTTGGAAGCTGGTTTGCTCTCTGGCAGGAGGGTAGTGGGTTTTTTCAGGGAGACCTGATTGATCTGTTTCTCCTCTCAAGGGGACACTGCTTGGCTGCTGTATGACACTTATGGCTTTCCTGTGGATCTCACTGGACTAATTGCTGAGGAGAAGGGCTGCACTG